CCAGCACAATATTTTTTTAAAAAAATATTTTAATTGTAGATGGATGCAACACACTTATTTTTTTATGTGGTGCTGAGGATCGAACCCAGTGCCTCACATGCTAGGCAAGTGCTCTTCCTCTGAGCCATAACTCCAGTCCCCAGCATAAAATTTTAATATTCAACTTTGAAATTCTAAATTTAATGGGTTTTCTATATTAGCAGGAAACTAGACCCTTATCTGCAAGTAAGAGGTCATGGTAGCAAAGGAGAGAAAACACACAAAGGTAGAACAAAGGAATATCAATATTAATATTCCTTTATCAATTTCTAGTATGGCCAGCCAGGTTTACTCTCTGAAGAGCTCTTTGCTAGATACTCTCCCATATAATTGTTGTGTCAGCCCTATGATGGATATCATATTGACCTCCACATTGAAGAGACAGGTCAAGGGGCTGGGGTTGTGGCTCTGCGTCAGAGCGCTCATCTAGCATGTGTGAGGCCCTGGGTTCGATCCTCAGCACCACATAAAAATAAATAAAATAAAGGTATTGTGTCCAAGTACACCTAAAAAATATTTTAAAAAAAAAAGAGGTTAAGAAATTTGAGCAGGGCACCAGTGGGGCACACCTATAATCCTATCGAATTGGGAGGCTGAGGCAGGAGGACAGCCTTAGTAATTAAGAGAGATCCTGACTCAAAATAGAGAATAAAAAGGGCTGAGGATGAGTTAATGGAGTAGAGATTTTATATCAACCCTGTCCTTTTCACAAATTCCTGGCTTTTTGTCCTGCCATCTTAGGGAAAAGGTGTAAGAAAAGTAGGGAAGCAGGGATCCCCTGTCTCTCATCATCCCAGTTCTAGTATCAACTTGAACTCTATAATATTAACACTAAATAGCAGAGTAGAATTTACACGTGGAAATGGACCAAAATGGCAACTCAAAAGCTAAGACAGCAGTCTGGGCAAATGCAGAGAGGTAGAAAGATCTGGTAGAAAGATTTTATCAACATCTGTCCTCTTGGATTATTAATGTACAGCACTGGGGCGACTTCCCTAGGAAAGACGGGAAGTACACACAGGGTGGTGATCAGTCATCTACGTCTGGGGGTGGCATCTCTGAATCTTGGGGAGTGGAATGCGTAGTTTGGAAAAACATCAGTGTAAGGTAATTTTATATTCTAAAACTTGTCAAATCCCGTTTTCTGCTCGCATCACCAAAACCTTATGTTGTACCAAGTGCTGCAAACCGCAGAGTACAGAGTTCAAAAGTGCCCGGATCTTGGGAGGGGAAAAGTGACCCAGACCTGGTACTAAGATGAATAGGCCTTCTACAAGATGATCTGCCACCTGCAAGTGGAACGACTGAGGCTGAGGAGGGAATCTGATCCTAGAGGCAAGTTAAAAAGGCCAGGGACTATTAACTCCTGAAAAGGCAGCCCAGGAAAAGCAGGTGACTCCCACTGAGTTTTTTACTACAGCCTCTGTTGGGACCAAACAAGAGCATGGTCCTAAAGACAGGGAAACCGAGACGTGGGCACTGATAAGTCAGGCCTTAATTCAGGGTAGCTGGACAGGGCTCTAGCAGGCCCAGGAGGCCAGGTGGTCAAGGGTGTGAAGGCAAAAGTCCGGGGCAGGGGACTTGGGCGAAGGGGCGGGAGGCCGGAAGCAGGGCGCGCCGCATCCACGCAGACGGACTTGGAAGAGCTGTTCCAAGAGGCGCACCACCGAAGATGCTGAGTCACGGTGTGCCGCGAGGGCCGGGTGCGGGCTCCCAAGGACTGGCACACTCTACACAGGGGAGGCGAGCGCCAACCGACGCGCAGGAAGACGCGCTCACGCACAGGGACTGCTGGAGGAGGGGCGCGCTCGCGTCTCCGTGTGGGATGGCACGTCCGGGATGGGCGGGGTGAGCTCGTGTGCGCATGTGCCCGCACAGGGTAGGGAGCCTAGAAAGGCAAGTGAACTGACGAACGTTTCTCTCCGCACGTCTGGGATGGATGTAGTGCGCGCGTGTGCGCATGCTCCGGTTATGGGCGGATGTGCGTATGTGCATGTGGGTGGGATAATGCCCCGCTCTGTAACGCTGGCCACGGGTTTTCTCTTTCCGCAGCGTTGTCTTCAGGTTTTCTCTAGGAACCCGCTGCAAAGGCTTTCAAAAACATTTCCCCACCATATATAGGTGTGATGTCCATGAGAATAGAAAATACTAAACTTATTAGATCGGCCTTCATAATCCGATTCTCAGCTCCCAGCGTTAGTCCCTCCTCGCAGTTCTGATGACCACGCAGTGTACTTCTCCACACCCCTTTTGTATTAGAATTAGCAAATTCTGGGTTTGGCGGTGGTCCCAGGCACTATTCCGTACCCTGGTGATGTGGACGTGTACCAGACTTTCTAGTGGGAGGAACAAATGCAAACACACTAATGCCAGGACAGCGCTAAGTGCTATGAGGAGGGGAAAAAAGCCACGTTGGAAGATTGGCAGTGGTCTGAGAAAACTGTTGGAGCCTTACCCTGTTCAGAACAACAGGGAGTCCTGGGGAGGAAGGACAGATGTGTGCACAGGAAAGCGTGGAGGCTGTAGAGGAAGAGGCAGGGGCTGGGTGGACCTGGTTGGTAAGTGTGCTTTAAGATACACGTAAAGGACTTGCTGAGAGTAAGGGAAGGAGGAATCAAGAATGTTTTTCTTTTTGGCCTGAGCACCTGAGTGCATGGGTGGTAGTTCTCTTTTTTAACAAGAATGGAAAAGATGGGGTTGTCTCCCCTAAAAAGATTTTGAGTTTCAAGTGCAGGAGCTATATTTTCTTTGCAGTCCTGGCTTCTACCAAGGACCCGTCCCTAGGAATTGAGCAGAAACTCTTGAAAAAACAGTCTTAACTTAGGCCCACATCTCTTAACACATCACATTTTTTTAAAATATGTTTTTTAGTTGTAGATGGACACAATATCTTCATTTTATTTATTTTTATGTGGTGCTGAGGATGGATCCCAGTGGCTCACACGTGCTAGGCAAGCACTCTACCACTGAACTACAACCGCAGCTCACAAGTCATATTCAGTCCCCTCTCTGACACATAGCCAGCCTATCTTTGTGAAACTCTTAAGGCCAGCTGCATGTGACCTCCAGGTGCCTGTCCCCGGAGATTCCTTGGACTCCTAGGTAGATATAGTTGAGAGGCAGCTAGTCATGTTGTCCACCTACAGTCGAGGAGCTGACCATTGGCATCAGGAGGCTGCTTACAACAGTGGCTTAGCAGGACAGAGAGCAATCCTCTCACAGCCTATGGTTGGCATGTGGCAGGAGCTTCCCAGGTGGCCAATTTGTTTTATGGGGGGATACTGAGGATTGAACTCAGGGGTGCTTTACCACTGGGCTATATCCCCAGTTCATTCATATATATATATATATATATATAATTTTTTAAGTTGCTGAGGCTGGCCTTGAACATGGTATCCTCCTGCCTCTGCCTCATTGGATCTCCCCAGGCAGAAAAGGAGCGTCATAAGCCTCATTAGTACCTCAACTACCTGTATGTTTGCCTCCATTTCTCAGATGGGCCAAGGCCTCCAAGAACCCTCTAAGAGCTCAGATTTAACTTTTCTTCTACTTCCATCCATTACCTGTCTGGCACATAGGTAATAGGACTCCTCTTATATTCCCATCACTTCTGTGAACAGCACTAGATGCTTATGTACAATAGGAAAACATTTGAATAAAATATTTTTTAAAATCTCCTTGTTAACTTTTTATTACTTTTACTTATTTTCTGACCTGGGGATTGAACTCAGGGCCTTGACCATGCTAAGCATGCATTCTACCACTGAGCCCTCAAGACCATGCTAGCATTTTCTTTTTTTTTTTTTTTCCCTTTTGGTACTGGGGATTGAACTCAGGGGTGCTTTGCCACTGAGCTATACCCAGCTGTAACCACTGCACCCCTCCACACACACTTTTTTTTTTTTTTTAACTTTTTTTGAGATAGTCTCACCAAGTTGCCAAGGTTGGCCTCCAATTTAACAATCCTTCTGTCCCAGCCTTCTGAGTCACTGGGATTACAGGCATGCACTATTGTGCCTGGCCCTGCTAGCATGTGTATGTGTGTGTGTGTGTGTTTATATTTTGTTGTAGTGGGACACAATACCTTTATTTTATCTATTTTTATGTGGTGCTGAGGATCAAACCCAGGGCCCTGCACATGGTAGCCAAGCGCTCCACTGCTGAGCCACAACCTCAGCCCCCTGCTAGCATTTTAGTAAGAATTCAGTGTATTCTTCATTACACTCATGAAACATGGATGTTGCTAAGCAACCTTGTCTTGAAGTAAATTTGGAAGGCTCTGGTACTTGGTCCCTATGTTCAACTTCAGGGCATCTCACAGTGGTACTTACCCTTGGTGGTTATATATTAATACTGACATTACTCAATTTTCCTAAATTCATGAAAATAATTCAATGAAGTGCTGCTTTCTCCAAGTAAAACTGAATTGAAATTCCCCTATAACCCTCCATCCACTCATGGTTCTCATCATCATACAGTCTTCCTTCTGCTTGGCAGGACAGCACCATCCAATGAAACAGGTCCTTTTTTAACCCTGTGAGGCAAGGTCTCTTGGCACAGATGGGGTTCCTGGAGTGGGGCGGAGGGGTGGAATAAGTCCTCATCCTTGGAAAGACTGGCTGAGAAAATACTATCACCCACACTTGGTGGGATGTGGGTGTTAGCAGACCCCAACCCTGAGAGCACCTGCATCCTTCCAAAAGACAGTCTCCTTTACCCCTATATTGGATGCACCTGAGAGGCCTAAACCATCTATGGCCTTAGGGAAGCCAACAAGAGGTTGGTTGTTTTTCCTGCTCATCCATGCCAACTCATCCTGATTCTGTAAGTGGTCTTCCCCCTTGAAAAAGTCTCAGAATCTGAGAAGAGGCTGACCTAAAAACCAACTGTGGGCAGCGTGAGTCAAGCAATGCATCTAACATGGTGTCTGTTGCAGTTCATTTTTAAATAAAGATTCAGAATACTATTAAATGTATATTTTTAATAAAGCCAATAGTTACTTTACTTATAGGAGCTTTTAAAAGTAAGATACAAAATGTAGAGTTCCAGTTTGGAAGCATTGTAACTATTCACACAATGTCCTGCTGATGCCGGAGCAAGGCAGCCACGCCCGGCCATGCAAAGGACACATGCACGCACATATGCACGCACACGCACACACACACTCTCTCTCTCTCTCTCTCTCTCTCTCTCTCTCACACACACACACACATACGCGCGCGCTTTGGCAAGACCCCTCTGCCAAGCGCAGCACCTGGAATTACCAGTGTTCAGAGCAAGGTGGTGCTGGGCACACAGCACCTACATGGAAACTACACAAACAGCTTCACACAGTCACAGCCCATGGAGATGCAATTACAAAATATCTTTCATAATAGGAAAGAAGAAAAAAATTGGAAAGTGACAGTTTAACAATGTCACCTGCGCTGGGGCATTGAGAATTGACCTCTGTCCAGGGTGAGGTCTTTGGGGAGGCACTATTAAAACAAGAGTACTTTAGTATAATAGAACTTGAAATACAGGGCACTGTGGACACATTACTGAAGGAAATAGAAAACTATCTTACAAGTAAAACAGTCACAAAGAACTTCCAACAGATTAGTGTGCACACTGTGACAGTTAACACAGACGAGAGCCACGCAGGATTGATGCAAAGCATGTGCCTGAAAAACTCTATGTACAAAATAGTTATCTGTAAACATGGTGAGGTGAATATTCAGAACCCATGGTGAAAGGATCATTAAGTACAGGCAGCAATGGCATCCCCACACAGCACAAAAGACAACACCCAAGGCCTGGAAACAGCCTGACAACACAGTACTAAAAATTCAGGTGACTGAGCTCAGACACCCTAAGGGTCCTCTAAAATGTGTATGTGTGTAAGTGGGTGTGGGTGTGTGGTGTGTGTGTACACAGATATTTATCCTTTTTGGTATTTTTAAATAGAAATTTACTTATATCTGTAGAAAAATGAGAACATAAATGTGTTATTACAATCTTTGCTGGAAAAGCTTATATGGAGTTAGAAAGAATAAACCATTTATTAGTAGTTAACATATATTAAAATGGTTTAATGACTTAAGAAAATATAAAAAAAATATTAATACTGTCAAACTTTCATACCAGAAAATATCATGGATTTTTCTCAATTAGACTTTTTCAAAGATGAAATATGAAAAATTTAAATAAGTTTTATATAAAGAACTTTCTGCAACCTCAATTAATTTACAGTGGGATATGTCTATTCTATATAGATATATTTATTATTATTTCTCAATTTAAGCACCATTCAATTCTTCTGGATCCATTCTGGCTGGAAAATATCCTAATTCCACAGGATGTTATCTTTTTAATGGCACATGTTAACCGAAAATGAGGTGGATTTTCTTTTTTAAAAGAAAAGACTTTAATTCTTATCTACATCTTAACTGGTTTGTCTTTTGAACCAGCTCACAAATGTTACTGCAGTTTCTAGTGCAGGTGTCTCTGTGCAGCCCTTTGACCACACTGCCCCACTTTGAGGACCCTTCATGCCTCCAGCCATGTGTGGAAGGATCTGAGGACAGCAGGTGAAGCCTTACTTTGCACACACCAGCAGCCTGCTGGCTCATCCTCATGCACTGTCAGGAATATACTTCTGACATCAGCTATATAATCCTGCTTTTGTAAATCTGGCAAAGGCTGTATTCCTGGATGTTTCTGGGTAAAAGGGGCAGCTCACCCACAGAAAACCCAGGTGATTGCTTCTGATCATAAATATTCTGTTTTCCCATTTTTGTGCTTAAATAAAGATAGTGTTGAGCAAACCTCCAGCCGTTCTGTTATCTTAATATGTTCAATGCACTTTAGACAGGAGATGTTTTAACTAAAAATCTACATGAAAATAGCTATGAAATCAGTGATGGGTGTGGTCACCACTCAATGTGTTAAGGAGGAATAAGAGGGTTTCATAAGAATGGTCAGTTTTGCTCTTCGCCTTTAGACCGGATGTCTTCCTAACATATAGCAGGATTAATAACCTCAGAACTATGTTTCTCAAAGTGTGGCCTCTGGCCACCTGCATCATAATCACTCCAGGTGCTTATTAAGCATGCGGATTATCCAGCAACCCCCTGAGTGTGATCTATCTCCAGCTGGCTCTCCAGGGGTCTGCTGCCTTCAGAAACCAGGCTTTAAAGGTTTGGAGCTGCCAATCACCCCTGTTCCCAAGGAAACCTCCTGGGATGGGGTGCACTGGTCCTCTGAGGGGCTGGTATGAGCTAGTCAGCCCTGGGGTGGGAATACTGACCCCAACAGCTCTGGGTGGGCAGGAAGAATGGCCCTGGGTCAGTACTGAGGCAAGTAGGCTGGCCTGCGTTCAGCCTTCCCAGGGAAGGCCTTAAAGCCCTTGGGTGCTGCCTTGTGTGCTGGTGGGGGTGGGGTCTGCACATAAGAGAAGGAGGCAGCACTGCAGTCGCTGGTTGCAGCCCACACAGGAGATTGCAGCATCTGCATGGTGTCGTTCCACTGGTTGCCGGGACTGGCGACTGCATAGAGTGGTGCACTCGGGCTGGGCAGTGTGCTGGGCAGTGGGGAAGGGTGTTGCCAGGGTGCTTTGGGAGGCCACGTTTTGGTTTTGTTATCCTGAGGGACAGAAGAGGGTTCTTAGTGGCACTTTTGGTGGTTCACCACCTTTTCCCACCTTCCCAGATCTCTGGCTCTTCTTTCTACCTAGGAGCAGGGTGAAAGCCCTAGCCCACCCCACAGCCCTGTCAAATGGAACTTCTTACAATGATAGCAATGCTCTATGCCTGCACCATCCAATAATAGTAGCCACTTGCCATCATATATGGCTAGTACATCTGTGGAACCGAATTATTTATTTATTTTTGCAGTGCTGGGGTTTAAACTCAGGGGTCTCATGCATGCTAGGTTATCTAGCACTCTACCATTGAGCTACATCCCCAGTTCTTGATTTATAATTAATTTAAATATAAACGGCCACATGTGGCAAGTAATGGATATCACATCTCTAGAGCTTCTTCTATATGTGGCTCTGAGTCAGCTGAGATGGCTAACTATTTAGACAAACTCATGAAAAAAAGAGATTCACCACAAAGAAGACTGTGACTTTGAGGCCTTAAAACAGAAGCTGTGGAATCTTGCCCATGGCCTTAATCATAAGCCAGCCCATAATACCTGGTTCATGTCCTCCACTGTAGTTAGGAGAGGTGGTGAGGGTAGCATGCTGGTCTCCTGCTCTCCACTGCTGTGTTTCCTGAAAGAACCAAGAGCCTAGAGCAGTGATTGCCTGGCTTTCTATCCAGCTTAATTCTAGGGGTCATCCCAGCTGCACAGCTCTGGTCTCTAGGCCCTGGTTCCAGGTGAGAAGGGCTTGGGTCCATTGAGTTCAGGGGCAGAAAGAGCTCAGCACTAAATTGTGTATGCCTACAAAGCCAGCACAGGGTAGGGAAGGCATAAAGATGGGCACTGGCTTTCTTCAGCTACTCTGAGTCCACCAGCTCTGACTTTTTGTTAATTTTTTCAATAATTTACCATGCACTGGGGATGTATGGAACTTAAAAACAAAATTCATTAGTTTTAACAACACTGAATGAAAAAGACAAGATGTATCAGGATCAGAGCTGGTGCTCCTGCAGGCAAACAGAGTCTCTGCAGAGCTGGTGACAGAGGTAACTTTTTAGATGTCTGATCAGCCACAGGTCTAGAACAGAATCTTAAACTCCAGCTTGGGCTCAAACCCACTCCTCCAGCATTTCTCCCACCCCAGTTCACAGTACTCCCTCTACATAGCAGCTCAGGCCCGGAACTTTCTATCATCCTGATTCTGCTTTCACATACACCTCACTGCCGATGCCCCACCAGTTGCTCCCTCACTTTGGTAAGCCCTCTGCTCTCTGCTCATCTGACATCTCCCTAGTTGCCCTTCTGAAAACAGAAAATTCACCTGTTCCCTGTGTTCTATCCTCATCACTTGCTTTATTTTTCTTCATAATACCTAAACTAACCTGACATTTTTTAGAATCTACCTTTTCTAATGAGAATATAATTATTTCCATGAGGAAGAGGGCTTTTTTTTTTTTTTGCTACCATATCACCTAATATGCTACAGCTGCTACCGAAAGAAACTAAGAATGAATAGTCAAGCGCGGTGGCTCAAGCCTGTAATCCCAGCAGCTTAGGAAACTGAGGCAGGAAGATCTCGAGTTCAAACCTGCCTCAGCAACTTAGCAAGGTTCTAAGCAACTTGGTGAGGAGAACCTGTGTTTAAATAAAATACAAAAAAGGGCTAGGATGCGGCACAGTAGTTAAGTGCCTTGGGTTCAATCCCCAGTACCAAAAGAACAAATGTAACTCCTCTTTTTTTTTTTTTTTTTTTTCAGTTCTAGGGATCAAAACAATGGTGTCCTACCTCCTAGGCAAGCACTCTACCACTGAACTGCAACCCTATCCCTTTAAAAAATATTTTTAAAAACAAATTTTGAAATAGGATATCACTAAATTGCCCAGGCTGGCCTCAAACTTGCCGTTGTACCTGGCTCTGAAGGCACTCTTTAGAGGCCTTACAACAGATGGTGTTGGAAAAGCCCTTCTACCTTTCTCATACAGCAGGCTGGCAGTTAATAACGGGCTTCCTGAATTTTCTAGAGGAATGAGCTGTGGGTCACACTCATATGCCCTTCTCTACACTCCTTGATTTAGAAATCTCTTCATACCTTCTCTGCTTGACAGCAGCAACCAGGTCAGGTCCTGAAAACATGGAGAACAAGCTGTCCCCATTGGCTGAAGACGTCTCATCACTGGAGCTGGCTGAGTCTCCCTGAGCACCTGACCAGCCGCTGTGCAGGCCGTCCCTGAAAGCCAAAGAGAAAAGCTGGTCCCTGGCCTCCGACAGTCAGCCTGGACACTAGATGGACAGCTCTTGAGTTTAACTGCCTCCCTCCACTCAGGCCCTAAAAGAGCAGTCCTTAACCTGTACTCATCTCAACCAAACAGTGCTCTCTTGTCTCTCCGATCTAAAAACTTGCAGTTTCTTTCTCTCCCTTAAATGTTTTTTGTTTTTGTTGTTGTTGTTTGTTTTGTGTGTATGTGTGTTTGTGTGTATTAAGTTATATATGTTTTATTTTTTTTATCACTTCCTTTTATTCTTTCCAGAAGCCTGTGGTTTGTGTATGAAATTTAGAGAAATCAAAAGTTGAGATGGTCTTTTCCCATTCATATTAACCAGGTAAGCAATATGAGATGTGAAAAATTCCCATTTTTTTCCTAAAATTTTTAAAATACTTTTTTAGTTATAGTTATTTATTTTTATGTGGTGCTGAGGATTGAACCCAGGAACTCAAATGTGCTAGGAGAGCACTCTACTGCCGAGTCACAACCCCAGCCCCCCATTTTTTAAAAAAATTTTTAGTTGTAGTTGGACACAATACCTTTATTTTGTTTATTTTTATGTGGTGCTGAAGATTGAACCCAGGGCCTCACACTTGCCATGCAAACACTCTACCGCTGAGCCACAACCATAGCCCCCCCTTGTGTTTTTTTTATATAAATCAATAATTCCCTTAAAAATCTGAATCATATACCATACATTTGCTAGGTTTTTGTTTGTTTGTTTGTTTGTTTGTTTTTTGGTGGGGAGAGCTTGGGATTGAGTTTAGGACCCTGCACTAGGCCTGGTGCTCTATCACTGAGCTGTGTCCCCAGCCCTGACTTAACATGCTAGGCAAGCACTCTCCCACTGAGCCACAACCCCAGCCCAGCCTTTTTGTGTGTGTGTGTGTGTGTGTGTGTGTGTGTGTAGCTGGGGATTGAACACAGGGCCTTGTGTGTGCAAGGCAAACACTGTACCAAATGAGCTATATCCCCAGCCCCATGCCTTTGTTTTTTGTAGGCTATAATGATAGTACTTAATAACTTACACGGGTTTTACAGCCATGCACATTTAACATGGGCTTTATGTTGAAATGAGTATAAAGACCATGTTGCTGGGTGCAGTGGTGCATGCCTGTAATTCCAGTGACTCAGGAAGCCAAGACTCGAGAATCTCAAGTTCAAAGCCAGTATCAGCAAAAAGTGAAGTGGGAAGTAACTCAGTAAGACACTAAGCAACCTAGTGAAACCCTGTCTCTAAATAAAATACAAAATAGGGCTGGGGATGTGGCTTAGTGACCCTTGTGTTCAATTCCCAGTACCAAAAAAAAAAAAAAAAGAAAAGAAAAGAAAGAAGAGAGAAGACCATGTTAAACATATAAACACTTTATAAATGCTATCATATAAAATTCTTCTCTTGGGTGAAAGAGTCTGTGGTAAACCATACACTTATGCTAATAGTGTGTTTACAGGGACACATCATACCAGCTGGCATCTTATAGTCAGTCACAAAAACTCTGATTCCCTGAAGACTTCATTATATCATTCTCATATGGAGGTTGGATTTCAATTGCCTAATATGAATGCACAAAGGCCAATGAGTCTCCCTTCTCACAAAAACAATCTGGGACACCGAGATCTCAAACTCAACTTCCTGGCTGTACCCAGTACTCACCCTTCTGTAAAGAATTCTGGAAAAGGCCAGGTCCGATGGGCATCATCCATGGGTGGCCAGTTGCCCCGGGGGTTGCCAGGACGACGACCATGCTGGGCTTGCCGCTTCTGCTGCATTGCCTGGCTCACTCCTGCCACATAGCGTGCAAACTCTGGGTCTGAGCCCACTGTTTTGAGATAAGGAAAAAACAGGATTTAAGGCATCTTAACTGGCATCTTGTTTCATCCCCAACATTTGAGAATGTGCTGGTCACATGAAAAGTGGTGAGACACTGCCAGGCTCATCATGCCCCAGATAGTTGGTTGTAGACTATGGATATTTACCTGCAAGGTAAGGTGGGACTTTTAGCATATAGGTCTGGAGTTGGGGTACGTTTGTGCAGGGGACTGTAAGGAAGGGTTATGCCTAGGTGAGGCAGGCTGAATGTGAAAGGAAGGAAGACAGAAAAAAGGTTTAATTTATCCTTTTAAGAAAAATACTAGTTACTTTTAAAATTTCCAATGTCCTGGTGCTATGTACCTAGAGTACCTAATAATTTAGAAAATCAGATGATGACTTTGGTCAACTAAATAGCCAAAAGTTATCAAAGTGCCAGGGTCAGACAGATAGAGATTATATGCCATTCCCACTTGAGCCAAACTACGATCCAGTATTTTCCTGGATATTAGATAACAGACTTGCTCATTCAGTTTGAAGATGACAAGAGTGGGAAGTAATAAGATATTTCAGGATGCAATAAGAAGCGAGGCCCTGGGTTCGAGCCTCAGCACAGCAAATAAATATAAATAAATAAATAGGATTACAGGTGTGCGCCACCACACCCAGCCAGTTATTACTCTGGATACATTGCTAGATTTTCTTGTATCTATCCATATTCATAAGTAAGATAGATGCACTATAGTACTTTGTTGTTGTTGTTTTTGCTTTTTCAGTACTGGGGATTGAACTCAAGTGCACTCACTCTACCACAGAGCTACATCCTCAAGTTTTTTGTTGTCTTTTTGTTTTAAAGATGATCTAAGTTTTATTCCAAGAAACTAAACAACTTAACCTAGCAGCCCAAGTAAACACATTGCTGATCTCCAAGGTTTCAAAATTCAGTACCTAGCACTTTTGGTATGTGCACTTTTTACTACCATTCTTTTTTTTTTTTAAATATTATTTTTCTTTCTTTCTTTCTTTTCTTTTTTTGAGAAAGGGTCTCACCAAGTTGCCCAGGCTGGCCTTGAACTTGTGATCCTCCTGCCTCAGCCTCTAGATTCTTTGGAATTATAGGTGTGCACCACCATGTTGGCTTAATCTTTCAAAGTACTTTTAATTTCTCCCTTATCTGTATTTCTAGCTCTTTTCTCTTTCCTCAAAACTTTATTTTACTGGACTTCCAAAGATCCTTTAGATTTATTTTCAATTTCTACTATCTTTTTCTTTTTAATTTACTTTTTTTTTTTTTTTGGAGGGGGGAGGATGCTGGGGATTGAACCCAGGGCCTTTTGCATGTGAGGCAAACACTCTACCAACTAAGCTATATCCCCATCCCCTAATTTGATTTTAAACTTAATTCCTCTTCCCAGTTTTGTATTTAAGTTCTTTCTCAAAAATTTTTAGATGACTCTGGTGGCATTCTCACACTGTCTACACCAGAAACTGTATTCTATGAAGCAGGAAAGTGTTCTACCACCTTAAAATATTTTTTCCCCTGGTGATGCTAGGGATGGAACCCAGGGCCTGATGCATGTTCAGCAAGTGCTCTACCTCTGAGCTACATTCCCAGCCCTCTACCACCTTAAACAAGGCCCTAGAGTTGGGTAAAAAGAAGCATGAGAATATGTTGTATAGTCAGGAAAAGAGTGCACCACAAAGAGCTGTCTGCACTGACTTTCAAGTCAGATTGGAGCCACTTGAAATATGGGACTATGAGCCATTCAAGCAATTTCTCTCTCTCTCTTTTTAGTTATAGATGGATACAGCATATTTATTTGTTTGTTTGTTTGTTTATTTTATGTATTGCTGAGAATCGAACCCAGTTCCTTACACATGCTAGGCAAGTGCTCTACCACTGGGCCACAACCCCAGCCCCTCAAGTAACTTCTCTTAACCTCAGTTCTGTCCTCTATAATGTAAAAAATAGTTGCACTTTCCTTCTCAGCCTCTTCCTCATTACTGCTTTCCACTCTTGCAGGATCTATTCTGTACTTGCCTCCAGACAATGATAAAGGGTCTTAAAGGGGGATTAAGTTATTTCACTTTCATATGTAAGGCTGTAGCAGACAGGCCCAGAGAAGTTCTCAGAGATCACATTTTATGTTCAAATGAAGTGAGAAGGAAGCAAGCCTCACATACCTGCAGGATCAAAAGGCAGAATCTCTCCCAACATTCCAAAGACTCCATCATTTTGGTCACGGTTTGGCCAGGTGTTATTTCTAGGTCCCTGTGGTTTTTGTCCCAAAACCTCTGACATCACATTATCCATGTAGCTGCTCACTAGGCCCAAGCTGTACAAATCAGAACTGAGATCAGATATGCCAGGCCACTGACCAAGAGGAGACAGATTTGCTCCAACAGGCTGTGCTGGCTGCTGGGATGAGCTATGTACCCATTTCCCAGGTGCCCGAGGCTGGGGTGGAGGCTGCTGTGGTCCAATGGGTTGAAGCAGGTGTTGGTAGTACTGGACCTGGGGCTGTTGTTGCTTTGGGGACTGCTGCTGAGATGCCAAACCTGGCTGGGATGTCAGACTTGCGTGTGCCCCAGCCTGTGGTGGCCGTGATGAAGGGGGCGCCGGCAATGATGGCTGCTGTGGATGCATGGCTCCTGCCTTCTGCTCAGTCACCATGGCTGTTGCAGCAGAATTACGCCTTGTCACCAATGGGGAACCCTGATGCGACTGGCCCATGTTAAAGCCTGAGAGAAAGTCTATCACCTCCTGCATTTCCTGATCAGTTGGTAAGTTCATACCCTTGTCATCCTTGCCATCATCCCCAGGCAGGAAGTTCTCACGCCTCTCTAGAAGAAAACCATTGGCCATTGGATTACTGGAATTCTGAGCTGACTGTGAAGAGTCTGTAGTCCTAGGAAAATTACCAATGTTCAAAATGCTTTGTAACCGTGTGTCAATGTTACCAGGCATTTTGGCCTTCTCTTCCGAACACCCAGCTATGAAGACATTTTTGGAAGGGGTACTTGGGATGGAATAATTTGTGCTGCCACTAGAGCTGGTACATGAAACTTTCTTGGTGAACCTGGATGTCAGTTTGGAGAATGTCTTCTGCAGGCCACCTGAAGACTTGTTTCCATTTCCAGAAGGCAGGTCAGCCTGGTTCCCAAAATCACAAATTTCCCTTTGAAGTTGTATCTGTATGCAGGGTAAAGCTTGTTCCCTATTTAAATGGGGGTAGGGGAGAGGGGTTGAGACAAATATACAAACTGGTTAATGAGATGGATGAAATGGACCTCTCTTTTTTTTTTTTGACAGAACTGGGGACTTGCACACGCTGGGCAAGCCCTCTACCACTGAGCTACAACTCTAGTCCTAAATGGACCTCTTTGCATTTAAGAAAAACTGGTTTCTAAGCATAAGTGAGGCCCTGGATTTGATATCCAGCATTGCCAAAATAAAAAATAAAAAAAATTTTGAGAACAAAAAAGACCTCTCTGGTATCAGGTTCATTATTTTACAGATCTAAAAAAGTGAACACCCAAGGGTTTGAGTATATATATTCTATAGTGTCTAACACAGAAATGTGAAAATGAGTAACACTGAATTCTGGCTCAGGAATTTGAATGAAACTCTTTAACTGTAGCACTGGACAGCAAAGCATGCGAGAGGTAGGGATATAAGAGCAAAGGGCTAACTTTGTGCCTGCAGGATGGAGACTGAGAATGCAGAAATTCAGCAGAAGGACAATGCATAATCCTACATAGCAGGGGGTGGAGGAGAGGACTTGGGGGATACTATGATTGCTATTATCAAATGGATAGATGCTGCTTCCAAAGATTTTTGAACATTTTTTCCTGTACTAAAAGGGAACACTACAGTTAGAAAGGGCATGGGGTGGGAGCTGAGGCAGGCGATAGAGGGTGTGATCCTGGAGAAATCATTTCACTGTTCAGACCCTCTGGGTACTCATGAGTTAATAGAGAGGAGACGTGGCTAAATGTTTAAGATATCTACCACTTCTAAAACTAACAATTCACAAAAAAGATAATCTTCCAGCTGTCAGCTGCCTTCAGATATAAGTAAATATTGTGAAGATTATAAGTAAATTTTCTTAACATTTCTCTGCTCTTAGTTCACAAGAGAATATGAGTTGGGTTAAAGGTTCTCTTGATGGATTTACTCTCATGATAAAACAAATAATAAAGGCAAAGTGTTAACAAATTGGATACTCTGGGTAAAAGGCAAAGAGCAATTCTTGCAACTTTTCCACAACTTTTTGAGTATTAGAGATTGAACTCAGGACCTTGCACATACTAGGCAAATGCTCTGCTACTGAGCTACATCCCCAGTCCAATATAGAGGTTTGAACTTATTCCAAGATAAATATTACCCAAAAGTTCTCTTTCTTGCCTATTTACCCATATACTATCAGTGACATGAACACACATGAAACTGTACACAGTCACACTGTCAGTGGGTATGGACCCAACACAAACCACTTGCACAGCCAATTCAAGCGACTGCTGCAGACACCAACCTCCCAGCCCTCCAGCGGTTTATGTCCAACACAGCTGTGTAAAGCACATCCACCAGACCCAGGGTCTTCTCAGGATCGAGGCTTCTCTGCAGCAGAGACATGGTAGCAGGGTCTTCTTTCAGGCACCTAGGCATAAACCAGGCTGCATTAGTCTTAGCTGCACTTTTCTGCAAAGGTGTTTCAAGAAAGCCTCAAGGAAAAGGCTATATCTTTTATGCCCTTTTGGCATCCAGTGAAAAATCAATAATTATAAGAATAATGAGAGAACAACTAGGCTTACATTAGAACTTACTGCTCTGCACAAGGGGGAAGAATCAATAGCACCTGGGATCTTGTGATATAATAAGAAATAAAGATGCTCCTTGACTTATGATGGGGTTACATCCCGATAAACTCATTTTGAGATGAAAACATTGTAGGTCAAATATGCATTTAATACACATTTAATATAAAGAACATCGTAGATTGGCTTAGTCTAGTGTATCTTAAATATGTTGAGAACACCTACATTAGCTTCCAACCAAACAAAAACATCTACCACAAGCCTGTTTTATAATAAAATAGTAACCATCCATGTCATTTACTGAATACTGTGCTGAAAGTGAAAAACAAAATAGAATGGTTGTATGGGTACACTTTCACACCATCATAAAGTTGAAAAAATCCTTAAGTTGAACAAATAAGTTGGAGACCATCCGCCTATATTTGGTCTCCACCTCCAGTTTCTGGCAGAGAACTCCTAAAATTTTTGTCACTTTCTGATTGGGGTGCTAGGAGCAGCTTTTATTCTGGAGTCTGGTCTCTGACATTGGTCCCTGACACAGATATCCTAAATCCCTTAGAATTTCCAGGGTGACAAGATGTCTTCTATTCTAGTGAGGACACTTTCCCTGATCCCATAGGTACTGGGGATGGAACCTAGGGGCACTCTACCTCTGAGCTACATCCCCAGCCTATTTGTTTGTTTATTTATTCATTCATTTATTTATATATACTGGGGATTGAATTCACGGACACTTAACCACTGAGTCATATCCCCAGCCATTTTTTGTATTTTATTTAGAGATAGGGTCCCACAGAGTTGCTGCTGGGATTGTAGGTATGTGCCACTGTGCCTGGCTTTGATTTTATTTTTGAGACAGGGTCTTAATAAGCTGCCCCAGATGGCATTGACCTTCTGATCCTCCTGCCTCAGCTTCCTGATGAACTGGGATTTCAGGTGTGTGTCACTATGCCTGGCTATGATATCACTTTTGGTGGGCTCCTGGATAGCTTCAGGTGGGGACTGGTCACTAGAAAGATCAAGTCACGATGAGAAGGTTGTGACTTCTGTCCTCTATCTTGGGAGACAGGAGAGGGAGAGCTCTGGACTGAGTTAGTAATCAATCATTCCTATATGATAAAGCCACCCAAAACTCCTAAACTATATGTTTGGAGAGCTTCCATGTTGGTGAATACATCCAGATGCTAGGAGGAGGACACAGTTGGATACGGCCTGGAGGCTCTGCATCCCTTCCTCTATATATTGCTCAATAGATCTCTGAACATCTGGCTATTCATCTGTACTGTTGTAATATCCTTTATAATAAACCAATAAATGTAACCCCAACTTGTAATAGGCTTACACTTGGAGTTTGAAATGGGAAACAGCCTGTGGGCTGAGCATTAACCTGTGGGCTCTGTGCCACTCCAGGTACTTAGTGTCACCATTAAAATGTAGGCTACCCAGTATCTTCAGAAAACTGGAGAATTGCTTGGTGTAGGAAACTCACACATTCAGTGTCAAAAGTGTTGTGTGAGCACAGGACTTTGTAGACCTCCGTGGATTGCTATCTATGACTGTCTTTTGAGTAGGAAGAGAAGAACTTGGTGAAGGAGATGACTTCAGGAGGCCTAATGTCCTCTTACTATCCAACACCCAGGATAATACTAACTTTTCTCTTTGCCCTGATGAGATTCTGTGGTCTGGCACAATTATCTGCTCCTCTCCAAACTCTTCCATAATGCTTCTGCCCCTCCTTCCTTCTACAAAATTGGATACTTGTATCAAAGACAGTAAGAGTCAGTGGAGGAAAAGTTTGCAACTTGAACTCACTGCAAATTTTAGGCAAGCAACAAACATGACCTCCATAAATTAATTTTTCCTCTTTTAGTTTGGGGGTGGGGGTTGTGGTACTTGGGACTGAACTCAGGGGCACTCTGCCTCCGAGCCACATCCTCAGGCCTATTCTGTATTTTATTTAGAGACAGGGTCTCACTGGGTTGCTTAGTGTCTCACTGAGTTGCTTAGCACCTCACTTTTGCTGAGGCTGGCTTTGAACTCATGATCTTCCTGCCTCAGGCTCCCAAACTGCTGGGATTACAGGTGTGCACCACCATGCCCAGCTAATTTTACCTTTTTTTTTCCTAGTTGTAGTTGGGAAAAAAATACCTTTATTTATTTATTTTTATGTGGTGCTTAGGATCGAACCCAGGGCCTTGCACTTGCTAGGGGGAGCACTCTACCACTGAGCCACAACCCCAGCTTACTTCTTTTTAAGATGACTATTTCACACCCTTCCCCTCTCCCCAGTGATCTGACATCCCTGTTACCTCTTCCATTCTCATCTGTCTCAACTCTTACTAAGCTAAGAAAATGCAAGTTAGCAGAAGAGATCCACCTCACCTTCACTTTCTGGTAATTCCATTAGTTCACCTGCATCTGTTCACATGCCTGTTTTCCCTCCTGTCCTACTGTAAGGCACAACTTGCTTTTGCCATAGTTTAGCCCTCCAAATGAGTGCTGGACACTGTGTGCCCTTTTGCATTCCCAAAGACTATATGATCAGCTTATTCCCCTGTGGCACTCCCTAGGAGGCAAAGAAAGCAGCCTCTCTGATCACCCTCTCAGCCCCACATTCCCCAGGTACTGTCCCATTTTTCTACTCCCCACGAGTAAATGCACTGTCTTTTCTTCCTTACTTCCTATTCTTCTTTTGCTCCACTCCCATCAGAATTTTATACTCTAACTCAATTAATATAGCTTTTAAAAAATTTTTTTAGACGTGGATGATCTTTATTTTTATTCATATATTTATATATGGTGCTAAGAATCGAACCCAATGCCTCACACATGCCAAGCAAGTACTCTACCACTGAGCCACAACCTCAGCCCCTTAAGATAGGTTTTTAAAAGCCAACTTAGATCTTGCTATGGTTTAGATATGAGGAATCCCTCAAAAGCTCAATGCAAAAATATTCAGAGATGGCTGGGCGCAGTGGTGCATGCCTGTAATCCCAGCAGCTTGGGAGGCTGAGGCAGGAGGATCACGAGTTCAAAGCCAGCCTCAGCAAAAGCGAGGTGCTAAGCAACTCAGAGAGAGCCTGTCTCTAAATAAAATACAAAATAGGGCTGGGGATGTGGCTCAGGGGCAGAGTGCCCCTAAGTTCAATATCCGGTTCCAAAACAACAACAAAAAAAAGTGCAGAGATGAAATGATTGTATTATGCAAGCAGTAACCTAATCAGTGGATTAACCCACTTATTGGATTAACTGGGTGGTAATTGTAAGCAGGCAAGGTGTGGTTACAGAAAGTAGGTCACTAGGGGCATGTCTTTGAGGTTTATATTTTGTTTCTGGTTGGGGGAGTGTGTTTTTATGTTTTTTTTCTCTCTCTTTCTTTCTCTCTCTCTCTCTGTCTCTCTCTCTCTCTCAGTTCACATGTCCCAAGTTGCTTTCTTCTGCCACACCCTTCCACCATGATGTTCTGCTTCACTTGGGCAGAGAACAATGAAGTCAGCCATGTATGGACTGAGACCTCTGAAACTGTGAAAAAGTTGTTCTTGTCAGATAGTTTGGTCACAGTGATAAAAGCTAATGAAAACAGGGTCTCCAAAATGTTGTGTTGTTCTAAACACTTTTAGCAGAATCTACCATTGCACTCTCACGGTTCAAAAATAAATAATTCAAGTATACTGGGTGTGGTGGTGCATGCCTGTAATCCCAGGAACTTTGCTCTGAAGGCTGAGGCAGGAGGCTCCCAAGTTTAAGGTCAGCAACTTATCAAGGCCTTAAGCAATTTAGTGAGATTCTGTCTCAAATTTAGAATAAAAAGGGCTGGGGATACAGTCCTAGGTTCAGTCACCAGTACCCTTCTGCCCCCCAGTTTATAAACTATTTATAAACAGTTTTGGACTGGGGGCATAGTTCAGTGCCCCAGGCTTGCTCCATTTTTTTTCCATCCAGAAAGCTCCTTTCTGGTCTCCTCTGGTGACTCCTTCTGCTCCCCCCTCTCCTCCCCTACCACCTCTGTATGGTACAATGTTCCTGCTTTTTGTTCTCTCTCCTCAGAGAGAGGTAACCTAATCAGTACAACTCACACCCCCCCTCCCTCCAAAACTATCCTGATTCCTACAGATTTCTCTAGTATAAAAGTGACACAAATGTCCACTTCAAAACCTATAAATCATCTTTAGCTCCCTGACACCCTATAACCAACCCATCAAAAAATCCTGAGAGCTTGTCTTCCAAAATGTACTTTGAATCCAGGCACTTCTTACTACATCTGTTATTGCTGCCCTGCTCCAGGAAACCACACCTCCTGCCCTCAGGAATTAGTTCCTATCTAATCTATTTTTCTCTATTCCTGCCTCTCTAAAGTGCATCCTTCACACAGCAGCCAGAGTGAGTCAAATCAGATCACATCACACTCTGCTTAAAACACTCCAACAGCATCTCATCATGAATGAAATAAAATCTAAACCCCTCACCATAGCTCTCAAGGCCCTGTACCTTGTCCCTAAAGCTCTGTCTGAGTGGGTTTGCACATGTCTGAGGATCTTTGCTTTTGCTGCTGCCTTTGCCCGGACTGCTTTTCCTTGAGATCTTGATATGGCAAACTGCTTTTCACCACTCAGGGCACTTTCACTAAGGGGCCCTTTTGTGGGTGTCCATGCCAGGGGCTGCTTAACCACTGAGCTACATCCCCATCTCTTTAAATTTTTTCTTTTTAGACAGGGTCTCACTAAGTTGCTGTGGGCTGGCCTTGAACTTTTGATCCTCTTGCCTCAGCCTCTTAAAGCACTGGGATAATAGATGTATGCCACCATGTCCAGGCAAGAGGTCTTTCTGAGAGAATTCAGTCCAC